AGGTCTGGAACAAAAGCTGTAAGTCTGGTAAACTCCCTCTCGTACTCGTCAACAGAACGAGTACCTTGCTTGAGCGACAGGAACTGACGCTCCATCTCTGCTCTATAATAAGTGGGATAGTACTTCTCGCGGATTAGCTCCTTGAGTCTGTCCCAGGTACAACCCTCTTTCTCGCCGAGACGCATGCTCCAGTAGGCATTCCACCAGAGTCGGGCATCGTCGGTTAGCTGAAGCTGAGCACATATAACGCGATATCTATCTGGACAATCCATGACCTCGAAAATCAACTCAAGGCCCTGAATCCACTCGTCCACGATACGGGGATCTCCCTGCCCGAAGAATTTCTCAGCATGATAGTCGCGGAACTGTGCGACTATAATAGCCTGGGGAATAACCGGGCGATCGGGTTCCCTACAGGGCGGCATCTGATCATTGAAAAAGTTCGATATTATTGAACACATAAAAAATACTCTGACTGATTACTAAAGTACACAGATTTCTTGACGAGTTGCCAAACATGGCTGAAAAAATACTGATATTGATCCTGAGGCAATCTAGAGTTATATCTGAGTACACTGATCTCTAAAGTCTGAATCTGATTCGAGCATCTTAACTAAGTCATGATTAATAAATTTCTGAGCATAGACAAAGTAATATGTTTATAACTGAAAAACAAAAATCAGTACTTACCTGTAGTCGGCGAGGCGTGAGCGTGACGGTTCAGGTTTTTGCAAATTTTCTGCCTTGAAAAACTTTTCAGAGACGCAGAAACGTGCTCTGATACCAATTGTAACACCCCGGTATTTTATGAAATTCAGAGCGCGTTTTTTCGCAAATTTCTAAATAAAAATAAATAAAGTATTTCTTTTGTGAAATCTGATTCGAGGTGCTACCGTAAAATCTGACTTAATTTGAAAACCGTTAATTTCTGAGTTTACTGATAAAACGGTTATATATTATATTAACCGACTATCGTCGGGTCAAAAGATGGTTTAATGTACTGAAAACTGTAGCGGAAACATCAGTGTAGCCAAAACATAATATATACATATAAACAAATGTCTTGAACCGCTCGCCGGCTCACTCCTCGACCCCGACTCTGTGACCTGAAAAACATGAATAATGTGGGGGCGTGAGCACTTAAAACACTGTGCTCCGCAGAAACTCATACTAAAGTAAAACAGTGAAAATAATAACAATATCATGATCCTGACAGAACTGATACTGAAACTGATAACTGATATCTGATACCGGTACTGAATAATCTGATACTGATCTCGTGATATACATCACCTGTCTAAAACTGAACATCTGCCGGCATAGGCCGGACACCATGTGCACACTCTAGTGGGCA